CTCCCCCCCCCTCCCGCGTCCTCAGCGCCAGTGTGGGGCCCCCGCGCCGTGGCTTTCCGCCCCGAGCTCACCGCGCCCCCAGCGCCCCAGCGGGGGCCACGCCCACTGCCCCCTCCGCCACGAACGCGAAATCCCGCGTCGCACCTCCCCCCCCCGCCCCCGCGTCCCCAGCGCCAGTGTGGGGCCCCCGCGCCGTGGCTCTCTGCCCCAAGCCCCACCGCGTCCCCAGCGCCCCAGCGGGGCCCCCGCCCACTGCCCCCTCCGACACGAACGCTGCGTTACGCGTCGCACCCCCCCCCTCCGCGCCCCCAGCGCCAGAGTGGGACCCCCGCGCCGTGGTTCTCCGCCCCGAGCCCCCCCGCGTCCCCAGCGCCCCAGCGGGGGCCACGCCCACTGCCCCTTCCGCCACTAACGCTTCATCCCGCGTCGCGCCGCACACCACCTCCCCTACCTCCCTCCCCGCGTCCCCAGCGCCCCAGTGGGGGCTCCGCCCCGTGCCCCCTTCCGCCCCGACAATTTTATTCCGCGTCGCGACGCACGCCACCTCCCACCTTCCCCCCCTTTCCCCAGCGCCCCAGTTGGACCCCCGCCCCGTGGCCCTCTGCCCCAAGCCCCGCCCAGTGCCCCCTCCGCCCCGACAGTTTATTCCGCGTCGCGACACACACCACACCCCTCCTCTCCGCGCTCCCAGCGCCCCAGTGGGACCTCCGCCCCGTGCTCCCTCCGCTCCGAGCACTTTATTCAGCGTCGCGACTGCCGCGCCGTCGGGCCCATATGCTCTTCTCCCTTCTTCTTTCCTCTTTTCCAACCTCTTCCCTCTTCCCCACGCTGCGGACTCGGGCCCCCGATTGCTGGGCCCAAGGGCCCCGTTGCTGGGCCCAGAGGGCGATGCCATGCCCCCTCTTCCCCCCTCCTCCTCCACCTCCTCCTCCTCCTCCTCCTCCTCCTCCTCCTCCTCCTCCTCCTCCTCCTCCTCCTCCTCCTCCTCCTCCTCCCCCTTCCTTTTTGTGCAAGGGCTATGGCACACGCGCCACTGGTTATTTACATGGTTTCGTGCCCTTCCCACCCCTCCAGGGAGGCCCCGCCTGCGCGAGGAGGGAGGCCCCGCCAGAGCGAGGAGGGTATCGGCAACCCATAATATTTACATGGTTTCGTGTCCCTACCACCCCTCCAGGGAGGCCCCGCCTGAGCGAGGAGGGCATCGGCGACCCACACTATTTACATGGTTTCGTTCCCCTCCCCTCCCTCCAGGGAGGCCCCGTTTGAGCGAGGAGGGTATCGAAAACCCAAATTATTTACATGGTTTCGTGCCCCTCCCGCCCCTCCAGGGAGGGCCCGCCTGAGCGAGGAGGATATCGGAAACCCATACTATTTACATGGTTTCGTGCTCCTCCCACCCCTCCAGAGACCCGCCTGAGCGAGGACGGTATCGGAAACCCATACTATTTACATGGTTTCGTGCCCCTCCCATCACTCCAGGGAGGGCCTGCCTGAGCGAGGAGGGTATCGGAAACCCATATTATTTACATGGTTTCGCGCCCTTTCCACCTCTCCAGGGAGGCCCCGCCTGAGCGAGGAGGGTATCGGAAACCCATACTATTTACATGGTTTCGTGCCCCTCCACTCCTTCGTTTTTCCACGGTTTACATGGTTTCGTGTCCCCCCTTCCACTCCTCCAGAGAGGCCGCGCTTGAACGAGGAGGGTCGCGGAAAGCATTACTCTTTACCAGGTTTCGTAGCCCTCCCCCCTTCCAGCGGAGCCCCGCCAGAGCGAGGAGGGTATCAAGAAACCGTACTATTTACAAGGCTTCGTTTCTTGAGCATCTGTCCTCCCTCCTCCTTTCTTTCGTCTGCCCTTTCGCGCGTACTTACTCGTTCAATGAGCTTCTCCTTCGTGTTGATGTTGTCGTACCCCATGGGTCCCACGAAACCGTTAATATCTTTATGTGGGAAACTCCATTGGCATAATTTGAAGGTTTCTGGGGTTCGCGCCTTTTCGGTCCCAGAAGGGCCCCAGACGGCCCAAGAGGCCCCAAATATCGTTTCAAGACGGGCCCAGAGGCCCCAGAAGGGCCCGAAAACGGTCCAAGGCGGCCCCCCAGAGGGCCCACGAGAGCCCCAAGACGGCCCCAGATGGCCCCAAGACGTCCCCAAGAGAGCACCAAGATAGCCCCAAGAGGTTCCCAAGAGGGCCCGAAAAGGCGGTGCGGGGACTGGGCTGCTTGGGTGTGGGGACTGGGCTGGCACCACGACGGCCCAAGAGTCCCAAAACGGCCCCAAGGGGCCCTCAAAGGACTCCCAAGAAGCCCCGAGACTCCAAGGAACACCATGGCTCCCATCAGCGAGCGGTGACGTCACAAGTTCTTGACACCAGGGCTCCCCAAAGCACGGTGACGTGAAAAGCTCGTCACACCAAGGCTCCCAAGGGCGAGCGGCAACGTAGAAGTCTCTGAACACCAGGGCTCCCAACGGAGAGCGGCGATGTAACAAGCTCTTCACACTGAGGCTCCCAAGAGCGAAGGGCGCCATGAGCCATCTCGGGCCAGTTCCTGCGGCGCTCTTTCCGTTCCCGTGCCGGCCCAGGTGACGGAAAGAGCGAGGTACGAGTGACGTACGTTGAGTTGGGGTGAAGCCCTTCAGGAAGGGGTCCAGGGGAGGGACGAGGACCGGGAAAACCGGATGGAATTGCCGTTTTCGGGTTATCCTTCAGGTTTTCGCAGGTTTTTCGAATTCTCCCCCAATTCTAGAAGGGCCCCAGACGGCCCAAGAGGCCCCAAAGATCGTCCCAAGGCGACCCCAGAGGCCCCAAAGGGGCCGAAAACGGTCAGAGAGGGCCCCGAGACGGCCCAAGAGGGCCCCAAGACGGGCACTAGAGGTGGCCCAGAGGACTGGTCCCGAGGAGGCCCCAAGAGGGCCCAATAGAGGTCCAAGCGGCACCAGAAGGAGGGGGGGGAGGGGAGCAGGACAAGCTTGGTGCGCTCGCGTCATATCTGACGTCCTACCCCTCCCTCCCATCCCTTACCATGGCGCTGATTTTCTCTATCCGCGGACGCGTGTCGTAGCGGACCTGTGGCTCCGCGCGCGCGTGCGTAGTGGGTGGTGGTGCACGTGCGTGCGTGCGTGCGTGCGTGTGTGCGTGGTTGTGGTGGTGCTGGTGCGGGTGCTGGTGCTGGTGCTGGTGCTGGTGCTGGTGCTGGTGCTGGTGCTGGTGCTGGTGCTGGTGCTGGTGCTGGTGCTGGTGATGGTGCTGGTGCTGGTGCTGGTGCTGGTGCTGGTGCTGGTGCTGGTGCTGGTGCTGGTGCTGGTGCTGGTGGTGTGGTGGTGGTGGTGGTGGTGGTGGTGGTGGTGGTGGTGGTGGTGGTGGTGGTGGTGGTGGTGCGGCGCGGTGGTGGCGGGCGGATGGGCGCGCGAGAAAGAGGCCCGCGCTGGGGCGAGAACGCCATCCTGAACGACGGAGGCCAAACACCGATCCGATAATGAGGCCCACGCTGCAGCGGGAGCACGATTCGGAACGATTCGGGAGCAGAAATGAGGCCGGCGCCTCTGCGAGAGCAGCATGTTAGAAAAAAACACAAGCGAAAACCCAACTCCGGGGAATCCTGTGTGTAAAAAAACAGTACGCGGGGGGGTGCCGAATATCTTCCGGACGCCATCAGGGGAAGTGGGAGAGTATTTTCTTTATTGTGTATATTGTTGGAGGAGGAGGAGGGAGGAGGAGGCGGAGGAGCGAGGAGGAGGAGGAGGAGGTCGAGGAGTAGGAGGAGGTGGAGGAGGAGGAAGGGGGGGAGGAGGAGGAGGAGGAAGGAGGGAGAGGGACATCCTTCTATCCTCCCACCCTCCTTTTTCCTTCTTTTCTCTCCTCCTCCTCCACCTCCTCTCTTCCACCTCCTCTCCTAATCCTCCTCCTCCTCCTCCTCCCCTGTCCCCTCTCCCCTCCCTGGTCCCGCTCCTTCTTCCCTGCTTCTCTTCCTCGCTCCCCCCTCCTTGCCTGCCGCAGCGCCATACGCAGCAGTCCCAGTCCGAGGCCGCGCTGCGAGTGTGCACGCTCGCGGGGGACGCGCCCCCCGCGCAACCCTGGCCGCCGCTGAGGATGGCTTCCGTGGGAGGGAGAGGAGAGGGCGTGGGGGTAGCATCCTTTGAGTGGCCACGCCGCTCTACGCCATCCCTCACTCTTCCTCCCCCATCCTCCTTCCCCCTCCCCTGACCCTCCTGACCCTCCCTGATCCTCCTCCTCTCTCTCCTCCCTCCGTGCCTGCCGCAGCGCTGCTCTACGCAACCTTCCCCTTGTCCCTCCTCCTCCTTGCTCCTCCTTCTCCTTCGCCTTTCCCCTCCTCCCTCTTCCCCGCCTCCTCGTCCCCGCCTCCTCTTCCTCCTCCACCTCCCCCTCCTCCTCCTCCTCATCCTTTTCTTCCTCCTCACTTTCTCCTGTCTTCCTCTCTCTTCCTATGCTCTTCCCTCCTCCGCCTCTTCCTCTCCTCCTACTCCTTCTAATACCTCCTCCTCCTATCCGTATCTCCTCTCATCCCCTCCACCTCCTCATCTTCCTCCTGCTCGACCTCCTCTCCTTCCCCTTCTCCCTCCTCCTCCGTCCTTCTCATTCACCTTCCCCTCCTCCCTCCTCCCTTGTCCTCCCTCCTCCCGCTCGAGGACCAGAGAACCCGCGACGAGGAGGACCTCCGCGATGCCAAGGCGCAGTGCTTCGAGGAGGGGGCGCTGGCCTCGCCGCCTGGCGTTGCCGGTCCAGCATCCGTCGTTGCCCTACTCCTCGTCGCCGCTTCGGGGGGGGGGAGGAGGACGGAGGAGGAGGGGGGGAAAGGGAGGTGGAGGAGGAGGAGGAGGAGTGGTGGAGGAGGAGGAGAGGAGGAGGAGGAGGAGGATTTTTTTTTTGGGGGGTCGACCCATGATCAGCCACATGACTCCGCTGGCGTGGCGAGTGCCAGCGAGAAAAAAGACAGGAGCGCAGCGGTGAAGGCACATCACTGCGCAGCAGCACGGCTCGGGCTGTCCACTATACAAGGACAGCAGACTGGGCGGCGAGGAAGAGCTATACAACCTGCAGCCGCCACCCGAGCAGGGTGCAACACGGGAGCCCTCCGAAGGGGCCGTGATGCAGAGACCCAGCAAGCAACTACTGAGCAGAGTAGGCGTCGGCGCCACACTCTACGGCAGCTGCAAACGGATCCAGGAGCAGCAGTCAGGAGGACCGATCGATCCACCCCGCACTCCAGGAAAGACACGGACCCACTGTACAGGGTCAGTCACAGGAAACAAAGTACAGGCAACAAGCGAGCCGCGGCAGCTGCTTGCAGCAAGCTAATTGGCAGGGAAGATTTAACGTGTTACAGTCAGCCCGTGGCCGACTAGCCATGCCAGCCGTGCTGGCGAAAGTCCTGACCAAATTTTTCAACAAGCATCCAGCGCAACATGGGGAGGAGGACAGTGAGGACAGTGCCGAGAGCGTGCAGGTGAATCACGAACACGCCTCGAAAAAAGAACGAGAGAGGGCCCTCATCCAACAAGGGGCGCTCTCCGCGCCGTGCGCGGGGCAGGGGAGCAACGGTGCGAGGGTCACTAACGGCGCAACGCCGGGCAGTCCCCACTCGCACCGCGCCCCCCGCCCGCACCCGCCCACTATTCAGGTGCCTCGGGCTCGGGCGCCTGCTGAGCATCGCAGGCACCCCGAGCTCCGAGAAAACAAGCGGCTCGAGGGGCTCGCCCGCCTTGGGATGCAGGCCCCTTCGAGCCAGCTCGAGCACCGACGCGATGGAGGCCAAGACAGCCCGCTGCACTTAAGGGGCCCTTAAGTGCAGCGGATCTGCTCCTTCCGTGCGCACGCCGCCGCAAGCGTCCTCGCAAACGAAGTGCCAAAGACTGCCCGCTGTGCCGCCGTCACCACAAGGAGCCTTCACCCCGTGGCCGCGCAGCAGCGAGCAAGGGACGTGCAACAGCAGTGGCATGAAAGTGAACCACATCACACACCCTGAGCAGAGGCACAATTAAACCTGACAAAACGTATTGACATCCACCCGCACTCCTGGTTTATTGTATGACGGGTGGAGGCCCTTTTGGAGACGACTCCAAGGATTACAATGCGAGGCCCGTTTCGAAGGCTCACACTTCTTACCTAGGCGATCAAGCCGACCCCCCGACGTGTAATAACCACATTTGTGGCAAATGCAAACGAAACTACCATCCGTACAGTCTATGAGCACACATCTATGCCCTAGATCACGAAGTACTGACGGGTGCACATGCAAAGCGAGCGAGCATGACCCACCAGGAGGCTCGACGCCAAACGTGCCACGACGACCACGCAAGCACGTAGCACATTGCCAATACGAGCCTACCCAATGCCATTCATGTGAAGGTTTCGCAGGAGCCTGCTCTTTAGCAGGTGGCTTGATTCGCTCTAAATCTTTGCCCAAGTCTAATCTAGGCCACAAAGACATTAATCTAGCACCCAAACGTCCTACAGCTCGGGCCACGGCCACGGAAAGATCCAGGCCCTCACGCAGCTCGTCCGACGGGGCAGGATGCAAGGATGCCGCAACCTTGGCCGAGGTATCAGCCCACGCATTGCCCTGTCTTAAATAGCGATCCCTTTCGTCGACCGCTTCATCGACAGCAAGATGGGCTTTCACTTTGGATATCGTGACTTTGTGCATGTGCGGACGAGCAAACTGAGCCACGCCAGCAAACATATACCTGGCTGATATCTGCTCCATCCAAGGCATCCTGAAAAAATTCACAACATTTAAACAGTCCGAAAAAATGTCACACTGGCCTGTGCTCCACTGAATGGCGACAGACATGGCAAAGAACTCGGCTGCTTGTGGAGTCTGGGGGCATGGCCCCCAAACTGGTCCTCTGACTCTCACTAATTCAAGCCCAGTCTCCCTGTCAACCAAAGTGAAAGCCCAGCCAGCTCGGTTCAATTCTTTCACAATGTAACGCGAACACGATCCATCCACGAACATGTCTCCAGCGAACACACTATGAAGGTCCCCAATCTCTCCTTGGGCCCACTCCACCTGAATACCACCTTTATCCAACGGAGCAGGAAAAACATCACCTGGGTGAGGAAACACCCCAAAGACAGCCAAGTTGTCGTCCACCTGGCTCGCCCACTTCTGGATCTTTATGGGCACAATCGAGTTCCTTAGTTCGACTACATCAGGACACTGGCAGTCCCACAATCTATGGCGGAGCGTGTCAGGCGCCTCGCCACACAGCGGGCACAGCACGTTCTGCAGCTGGTAGCCTAGGTCTGCCGCACGCGTACGAGTGTACACCGCGTTGCAAAAAAGCGCCCTCAGACAGCCTTTTTCAAAGGCAGAATACTTCGTGCTCTGGAGATAACTAAGGACCCCATCAGTGCAAACACGCCCAGACATGTTCAGACGAGCCCCCATGTCCCACTCGAGACCTCTCACAACAGCTTTGCGAAGCAAATTCTTAATCAAAGTAGGCGAGAACTCCGTCAATTTAACCTCCTCACCCTTGTCAGTTCTAAAAACAGCGAAGGAAGGCATGGACCAGGAATCCGCTCACATGATTTCCTCAACGCAGTGATCGGCCCCGAAACCGACCGCCACAAAGGGGAGTCTCCCGAGAAACCAACGTCCCACGCCTCCCTGAGTTCGGGGAGCGAGAGACAGTGGGGGTAGGTCCGATGGTGAGCAATCCATATTTCCTTCGACCATCTGACCATCGGAGCGACCGACGCATACCAACACGGCTCGCCATGCGAAAGAAGAAGAGCCGTCAGCGATCTTCCAGACGCTGATGGTTGCAAGACTGACGCCGCCTGGCGCCGCAATCTCAACAGCTCGTAGTCGCTCACACCATATATTTCGGATCCGAAAAGCTCCGAGGCCAAAGCTCCCGAGGCAAAAACGTTTTTGGCCACGCGGGCCCCAACCAGGGGCCTCAAGCGGGCCAAACGGGAAACAAAACCCCGAGCTTTTTGCTCACGCTTCTTTTGCTTCGAGCTCCTACCAGCAACACGTCTAGGGCGTCCCACACAATCATCCACTCCTAGGTTCGCCGCTGAACTGACTAAGGGGCCAGCCAGGCCACCTAGGGCCTGAGCGAGATCACGCCCAAGCGCCTTAGAAGAAGCGATCAAGGATCTCTTTCCCACATCTTGACTCACCTTAGCTCCGATCCCCTCCTCCAGAATAGAAACCAAGGCTCTGACCACCGGTGGCAGATGCTCCACAATGTATCGCCGCGACCCCGTAGCACTGAGGCCAGAGTCGTCGATATACAACTTAAAATGCACCTGTGGCGGAATGCACAGCATGTCGAGGGACGCAATCGAGTACACTCTGATCAACGTGGTGGCAAACGTACACCCCGCGATGATGCCCCCCAAGGCCCAGAAGGGCCCATCCACAAACCCGTTCAACACAAAAAACCGAGCCTGAAGATACATCGCAATCGCGAGCCGAGCGATCGCGAGGGGGAAATTCACCTGCTTGCAACGCCACAGGAGCAACTTGAGATCAATAGTCTCATAATATTTGTAAAGATCGAGCAGGACCGTGGCAGCTTCATCCTTACTCAATGTCGAGGTCTCCGCACGAACCGCCTGTCTCCACACCACGTCCTGGGCCCCCTCGAAAGGCCCAGCCGCGAAAAAACTCCGAGCGTTTTTGAACTCCCACTCCTGGGCCAGGGGCCTCCGCACCTTACCGTAAGCACGGTAAATCGCACAAAAATTCCCAATCGGGCGAAAACCAGAAGCAGGTTTCGGGATCAACGTAAGGAGAGTGATGGCCACCTGTCTCGGTATCAGCGCCGTGAGCTCCATCACGGCAAACAGACCACACAGAATTCTGAGCAGCTCGTCACTCATGAAAGAGAAATGCCGCATGTGAAATCCGTCGACGCTGACAGAAGTGTTGATTTTGAAACGCCTGGAAAACTCACGTATCGCCTCCACAGGAACCTCAGGAAGTTCAGGAGCAAGCTCACCGACATGGAACCAGGGACCCTCACCAGCATCCCCCCAGAGGTCGGAAAAACGTTTGGACTCAGCTTGGAGCAACGACAAGGGGTCCGCCACCACCACTCCGTCCAAGGACAGGGTAGTGGTGGGGACCCATGGCGTCGCTCCTTTGGAAACGGTGTGGACCCTTCGGGCTCCCCGATTCGCCTTAAACAGTAACCACTCCTTGAACTCTTTCCTGGCAAGCTTCCTAGAAGCAGCCTCAATATTCGCAAGCATGTCACGGCACATCTCATGCAAGTGATGGAAAAAATCAAGCATTGGGCCGTCTGCTGGCTCGTACATCGGGAGCTCGCGGACGAACTCCTCCAGCGAAGACCTAAAATTCTCCATCTGGCCTAGATCAGCGGCGCACTGAGCTGGTGGCTGCTCCAGGCGCTCGAGCACCCGTCCGATGCCAGACTGGTCTCCCACGGTCCAGTAGCACTCGAACTCTCTAAAGAGATTGGTCAGCCACCTAGCAGCAAACAGTGTGCCATCGCCTTTGCCAGAGTCCTTGGACAGCACTGGGCGCCAGCACATTTGGGGAGGCTTACCACGAGAACCCCAAACAGGAAGGACCTTACCCGTGGCAGCGGAGACCTCACGCTCGGCAGCATTCGCCCAGTGTTTATAGACCAAATCAACCGAATCCTGAACTCGTTCGAAATCCCCCACCGTCGCCGCTCTACGAGACGAGTCCAGCACATCA